AGAACATACTCAAACATGCGAATGGTGAAGTTTAAATCACAGATAGAGACTGAAGAACATGAATGTGTTCGTCATGGCAAGTAAGCAGAGGCAACAGAGTATTAAAGACTAAAAAGAGGGAAAATAGTAACTCACCGAAGAAAATGAAGCCGGTGTGAGATACGTCGGAGTTAAACGCAGGTGATACGAGTAGCAAGACGGTGAGTGTTTCACTGGAGGAGACATAACGGAGTAGTTGCAGAGAGCTTTAAGAAGACGATAATGGCGGTTTGGGAAAAAGAGGCTTAGAGAGAGAAAATTTGTGCAAAATCAAAGATGTAAAGTGAAAAGACGGAAAGATGGAAAGGATTTTTGTCAAAACACGGAGAAGGTGGCAAAGTGGTATTGAATGTGCCTTGGACGATGTGCTTGTCAGGCGGTGCACGCAAATGTGACGCGACTTGATGGCGCATGTCAAGTGCGATTTGATGGGGAAGAGATGCGTGGCAAAAACGGTTGAAATATTGTGCGTGACAGCTCATACGCGTGTTGAAACTCTTGGAGTTCTTGATATTAAAGACTTCGGCTTGGGAGACGATCTCGGCTAAATAAAATGAAATAAACTTGGATATTGGTTCTAAAGCATTGAAGAAACAGATTATAGGTCTTGGTCATGTGGAGCCGACAAAGTGATAACGTCGGTAATTAAAGCTTAGCCGATGTGCTATATGGTTTGAAGATATAGGTTCCATCACCTCAGGATACCGAGGTAATAGAACCTAGGGGGCAATTGTGGGGACATATTTTTTAGGCAGCAACATGTGGCCGAGGTGGCACCGAAGTAGAGCCGAGGTGCCACGTGTTCTAGTCATGACGCCGAGATAATCTCGGCTAGGCCGAGGTTATCTGCGAAGATATCGAAATCCAGGATAAGCGGATAAAGGACAAAAGTCCTAGAATGAGAGAGGATTTCAGTTTGGATAAAGATAAAACTCTTACAGCGTTTATCCCAATCTAACTGGGAGTCCAAGATTAGCATTAAGCCAAAGTCCATTAATGCTAGGCTTCTATTGAGATTATGTCAGTGTTGGCTATAAAAAATAGGCACTCTCATGGGTCTAATGTACGCTTTTTATATTCTGAATAGTGACTTAAGCACTTTTGCTATTTTTGAGAGATAACTGACTTAATCGTCGGAGTGCCCCTGGGTAGACGAACCACCGCTGGAATCTTATCTTTCTGTGACAGGTCGTTCAGGTTTAATCTATTCTGTCGATGTTCCCCAGCTGAGTACCTGTTTAGCAGTGTGGTCAGAAATTGACACACACAGTTATGTTAATGAAAATTTTAAAAAATTAAATAATGTTAAAAAATGTAAAATGTAAAATTTCAATATACATTTCACATATTTTTAAGAAAAAATTGATCAAAATTTCCTCATAATAAAACTTTCATGTATTAAAGACAACCATAAAAAATATAAAATATAAAAATATAAAAAAAAAATCTTGAAAAGTCCAACACATATTACTAATATCAAAATATCTGTAGTAACTAATTTAATATTTTAAATTTCAAAATGATATAATTTTTTATTTAGATGTTGATTTTTAATGAAATTATTATTTTTAAAATACTCTCGTCAAGATCTATCAAACAAGATCTTTGTTGGCTATGAAATTGTATATATAAAAAAATGACCGTTCAAAATTAACATTAACTGTAAAATTTCACTTTAATTCATAGTAAATTTTATCACCACTAAGCACCATAATCACTATAATTGTTAATAAACAATTACAAAACATAACTTTAACATAGTAAAATAAAATAATAACTTTAACAAAGTAAAATTTTACTGTTAATTTAAAGCAGAACATCAACAAATAAATGACTAAGCATCAACAAATAAAACACTTTTAAATAGAGTATCAGAAAATAAAACATTTGACATAATTACTAGGACAAATCCAAGTAAAATTAATTTAATGGCAACACATTTTAAATGCAGTTACTAATGTTAATATTTTTCTTTTTTTCTTTTTTTTTGATCTAATATTTTTCTTAATTAATTACGGCAAAGCAGGTAGCCTAACTAGCATGAAGTTGTAATATATTACTTACTCCTGTTGAAATATATTCATAACTTAATACTATTCAACCGGTTGTGTTTTGTCTTATTTTATAAAAATATTTAAATACAAAGTCAAATATGTAGTAAAAAAAAGGTAATTATTTGTTTTGTCTTTGTCTTTTAATTAATTGAACCCTGTGTAGTCGGGCATTTGGGCTCGTCTACAAGTCACAGCAAACTATTCTACATGATCATAATGACTATATTGCCCCAGGAGAAATTTTTTGGACAATGCCATAATTTTTGGAATTATATTATTAAAAAATTAATAAACATAAACATTATACTAATAAATATATCAACTAAACATAATATTAAATGAATTTGATGACAAATTAAGAGTCCCATATCAATAATGTTAGGATAAGTAGTCATACTTTATTTATCATTTTATGTATCATATAAACACTTTTCTCAACCAAAAAAGTATATATAATATAATAAATAAATATAATTAATATAACATTTATTGACAAATTTGAATCTCCCTACATGTATACGGGTCTTTATTATTATGATTATAATTCATCGAATTTTATTATATAAAATCATAGATAGAAAAAAAAATTTATATTGATATGTATTAGTGGAGTGTTCCTAAAATTTCTCATGGTGGAAAGCATGTTAAAGAATATAAAAATAAAAAAATTAGAATACTAAAGGGAGAATTGCAAATCAGTGGTATTTGTACAAAATATTTACAATTAATGAGAAAACTTTATAATTTTAATTATTAAAATTAAAAAACTTTTTCACTGATTTGTAATTTTTATTTTATTTTTTTTTTAAACTTACATTGAATGCAGTTTCCCCAAAATTAAATTCCATATATTTTGTTTTGATACATCAAAAATAAAATTCCATATATAAGAATTACTCCTTTAGCTTTTGCTATGTGATCCATAATATATCCTTAATCGTACTCACTAAAGTGAAATTATTTTTTTTTTAAATAAAAATGTGGAATAGAGAGAGGAATGGATGGAGAATTGTTGGTGATATATGTGAAGTAAAACTATATGTGCAGAGTGAAATACTTTTATTTCAGGAACAAACCGAGAGAGATGTTAGAGAGAGAGTGTGAGAAAGGTTTTGCTACTCAACGGCAAGAGGACCCACTGGCATCAACAGAAAATCCATAGCAACCGGCAGCCATCAAGCCCAACCAAATGGCAACTCAGTGGACACCTCAACTGAAGAAATTGATCATGCAAGAGCGTCATCACCACAAATCCATCCCTAACCCAGGTATTAACCCCGTCCAGTATCGAAGCCGAACTATGGGCCATGCAAGATGGACTGAAACTTACTCTCGACCTGAATTTCACAGGAATAGAAGTTGAAACTGACGCAACCACCATAAAAAATCTCATTTTTGGTAATTCCAACCATTGTCATCAACTTAGTAATCTAATTCATGACTGTAAGTACCTAATGGACCAGCTCGAAACCTCGACTATTAGCCATATCTATTGCGAGGGAAACAAATGCGCAGACTTGCTTGCCAACGAAGGATTTAATCATGAGGGTTTACTTGTTTTCTCTTCTATTCCTAACTATATTTCCTTTCAAGTATTTGAAGATGTTAGGTGTACTTTTTACCCTAAAAATGTAACCGCTTAACTCTTTATTTATTTAATTTCGATCTTCATTCCCAAAAAAACAAAAAAAAAAATGATAATAGATTAATTTATAGTATAAGAATATTGAAGAAAATAAAATTTGTAAATGTCTCATGATAAAAACTTTTAAAGCATGTGCCTGTTGAATTTTTCATAGATTGGGCATCTCCAATAGCCTAACCATTTCAATCTTTTAACTTATTTAGCTAGCTAATAAAAAAAAAAAAATTAATCTCCAACTATCTTATTCTAAGTTAATTATGTTGGAAAATTGTGACAATATATAGCTAGCCAAATGTGGTTGACTATATTCTTATATTTTATCGTTGCTCTTACATACTATTATTACTATACTATGCATTTATACTTGACTTTGTATTTTAAATTTACAAAATAATAATAATAATAATAATAATAATAATAATAATAATAATAATAATAATAATAATAAATTAAAAAAATTAATGATTGATTAAAAATAAAAAGTTATTACCTAAAATAACAGAATATTTTTTGACTAATCATTTTAATTAACTAATATTGTTGGAGATGTTCTAAGACAACAAATTATTAAGTAGTTTAAAATATTATGTAATATTATTATATGGTCCTTACGTAAGGAATCAGAAAATACATTGGTTAGTTAATAAAATTTTATGAATGATACAAAAAGGACTCACATTTATAAGATAGTGGAGGAATAATGAATGATTCACTAGTATTTTGTGCAATTCTTCATTTGTCAGAAATACCATATAAACATTTCACCATGATTTTTTTAGAATTACCTAATAATTTAACGAAGGTATTTAGCATTGTCATAACTATAAAGTTTTTCACAGCGCCTTGTTTGGAAATATATTATTTTAATAATTTTTTTAATTTTTTATGAAAAAATGTACAAAAAAATAAAAAGAGTAATATAACAATTTATAATAATTTTTTGACTTTTTAACTAAAATATTTAATCCCTAAATGAGATAACATTATGTAGATAATATCATATAAGAATTTGTTTGGCTATGTTTAAACATTAACTAATTTAACAAATCTATTTTCAATTAAAAACCCCATTTTAACTATTCTAAAAGAAAAGTTATAAATGTCTCAAATAAATTATTTTTATAAGTTTATTTTTAATCAACAAACTAACTCTATTTTCTTCAATTAATTATTATTATTATTATTATTATTATCTAATTAGAAAGAAAGCCTAATATTCGGACACACATTGGGCAGGGTAAAACTGTACTTTGAATCAGCGGTTCATCATTTAAGACAATTAATAAGACCTCCAACAGCCTTTTCAGAGTCATCAGAGAGAAGGCATCATCATCAACCATTGATGATAGATATTTAGTCGAGGAAGAGGCGGTGATTTACCAGAAAACCAAGAAAATGGAGGACAAGAAGAAGAATACATCAGAGACTAAGGAGGTCACACCCATCATTACAACAACAACAACAGTTGTTCATGTTTCTAACACTCCAAGAAATGGATGTTCTTCTTCTCTTGAAGGAGCTCTAAGGGCTATTCTTAAGTGTCTGGGCTTAGAGACAGCTGCAAAACCTGAGGGCTCTTCTTCATCATGTTCAGAAGAGATTGACAAGAACAAGGTCATCAATGAACCACCAAGTTGCCAAGAACAACAAACTTCTTCAAACCCAGGAGGAGGAGGAGAAGCTGCAGCAGATCCTCCTTCAACAACTGACCCACCACCTGCAGATCCTCCTTCAACACCAGTTGTAAGCTCTCTCTCTCTCTCCCTCTCTCATTGGATTGTGTATATATGTTTTGTATATGCCTAATGTTATATAAACTAACAAATTTTATAAAAAAATTCTTATGACACTTGTATCATATTATTAATAAAGTGAGTCATGTTTTCAAAATTTTATTTACTACATAACCTATCAGTTAATAAGATTTTATTTGTTAGTTTGCATCTATATATATATATATATATTATAACTATTTTTTATGTTTAATGATAAGAAAATGGGTGCTGTTATTGCATACCATATGCAACCAACACAAAAGGTATAAGTGGAAGGTGTAAACATAAAACAGGACAGCAAACAGAAAGGCGTAAGTGTAAGTTGTAAGTTGCACACTTCAGAAAAATCTTAAGAAAATTTGATGTAAATTGCACACTTAAGAAAAGCCCTATTTATATATGCTATAACTCATATTATATTATAATCCGAAAATCTCATATCACAAAAATAAGTTGTATTGTGCAATGCTAATTTTTATATTAAAATTAACCAAATATTTTTTTTTTTTTCACAACTGTTTTACGATCAATCACCATACGCAGCTCGAGTTTTGCATATGGGGATTTCTCCCGGTCAACTTTCATCTCATAGTTTTTTTTGGGTAAATCCCACTTTGGCCCTTTTATATATATATATATATATATATTTAGACACTTTTTTATTTTGACTCTTAAAATTATTTTTTCTCACCCTTTAGATTTTTAATTTTTCTCAACTTATTGGTAAAGTTAATTTATGTTAAAAATTAAATAGAATGAAAACATTTTATTATGTATAACTTATATTTCTCACATAAACTTAAATTCTAATATAGTAATATATTTTTTATATTATGTGACAATTATTATGACATTTTTTGTCTATTTTGAATGAAATTAATTTTAGAAATAAATTAAGAAAAACTTGAAACATAAAAGATTAAAGTGGGAAGAAATAAATTTTAGTGACTAAAATGATAAAGTCAAAGGGGCTACTTTTTTTTCCTTTTTTTTTTTTTTTAACATTGTGGTAGTGGTGATTAAATGGTTAAATTTGTGTTAGACAAGGGTTATCACCTAATTTTATTTATAATTTTTTATTAGCCAATAATACCATGCTCAAGATAATGTCATGTTACACTCAATATTTTATTTTTTTTTAAATTATTTTAATTATTTTCATTTAGTAAATGTTTAAACAAAAATATAAGATCTCAAAATAATCCAATTCACATTCTTCCTAAATCACCTCTACCACTACCTTATAATGATTTTCTGTCCTCAAAATGTCTTTGTTCCTTGGTCTCAAAACACTTGCAATTATTTAGTTATTGAAAATTTTAAGATACAGTAATTTCAAGATATAATTTAATTAACGTAAACATTTTAAAATAAAAATATTTACGGACAAAAGATCTCCTACTCAGCATTATTTTGTACATGCTAGCACTGGCGGAGCCGCATAGTGACTAGGGGTTACGGACCTTCCTGAATTTAATTTTTTTTTTTTATAAGTACATAAACAAAATTTTAAACAAAAATAATATTTAGAATGAAATGTCAAGGATATTTTTAAATTTATGAAAACAATAGTGATTGTTTTATTGAAAATGAAGTGAATAAAACAAATTATATTTTTATATATGAAAATTTTGTGAAAAAATCTCAATACAAAGATAATATCCATTATTATTGATATGTAAATATAATTAATCACACTATACATTTGTAAAAATTACTAGAGTATTAGTTATATTTGCATGTGGGTTCACCCTTCATATGTTGCTTCACTATTAATTGGTGATATCATATGTCAATAATAACGTAATATCACTATTATATGAATTTTTACTTAAATTTTGTAAAAATTTGATTTATCTTATCATTATATAATTTATTTTAAGACTTAAATACATAATTTTTTTATATTGTTCATGATACACTAGTTACACACAATATTTTCTTTTCAATTTTACTCAAAGTTAATTGTAAAATTTTATGTGAAATACTTTTCTAATAATTTATTTAAGTTTTTGTACTTAATACTAATTCAAAAATTATTATTATATTCTTATTATTGGTTATGAAAAAAAAACAAATTAAAGTTATAATCAATACGTACATCTTCTGATTTAATTTTCTGACTCTGCCACTACTAGTTATACTTTTATGTGTTACATGAATGTATAGGAAGATATTGCAATACAGAGAAGGCCACCAGTGAACTCCGGAAGTGGGCCTCAGACCAACACCAACAATTCTTAGACACGCCCCGTCATCGTCATCGTCATCGTCATCGTTTTATTGATGCACTAATGTCTATTTGGTTATGGTTTGGTTGTATATAATCTCTCTCTGATCTGGTTTGGGTTTTGACAGTTATTTCGTTGTTGTCTTATGTTTCTTCCTACTTTCGAGTTATCAATGCATGAAAATGTACAATAAATTAAGACATCATGTGCGATGCTGAAAATTAAGCTCTGACTTTAAGCCTCATTATTTGTTCATGGATATTTTTACACTTTTATAGCAAAGTATATGTATGCCATGGCCTCTAAAGTAGCATAAAATAGAAAATCAGATAAAATTACATATTCCATTCAACTATGTTAGAATCACAAAATTAAATCATGATGCATACACTTACCAAACATGTATGTGAGTCCCCCATGCATGCACATGCTTGTGAGTTTCTGATATAAATTTTTATATTTTTTTTCATTTTTTCCTTATTCCCATGCCTACGTATATTGGAATGGATCTTTGTCTCCATGCATGTCCTTATGTTCCATCCCATGTATTAATAGTGTCACATAATTTTATTTTTAATTTTAAAAAAATAATAATCATAGAATTATAATCCAACCCTTTTGTTAGAGCATATTTATTAAGCTCAAGAAATTTGCTTCTCAACTACTTTGCCAAGCAAATTAGTAAGAGCATCTTTACCAGACTCTTCATAAAAACCGTTATCTAATAGCTAATTTCATCATTTTTTACTTTCTCAAACCAAATAGCTATTGTAATAGTTACTTTAATAAAAAATTTCTAGATTAGTTACATTTAAAAAAATTTGAGAGGCTCTTAAAATTAATTTGTATAGATAAATATGTAAAATAAAAAAATAACATAATAGATTAAAAATAATAATAATAATTAAATAAAATAGAGTTCATTTTTCATCTTTTAACCAGTAAAAATGAAGAATAACATTAATGTTGCGTTAAGAAACGTACTCCACCAAGCTCATCAACACTATTTTTATGTGCCTCAAATTCCCTCGCCACAAGTTGCTAGCGGTAGAAGACTGGAACTTGGGTTATGGCAATAAAAAATTGGATTAAAACAATAAAATATTGCTTCACTTCATGGCAGTTGCAGCAAATGCAAAAGAAAAATGTTACGGTCCTAAACTTATTCATTCAAAAAACGTATAAGATCTGTATGTAAAACAAATCTAAACTATAAAATGATAATTTTAAATAATTTCTAAATAGTTAAGCTTAATTTTATAGTATTACTATTACTGAATGCAAAATGATAAAAGCATGATTATACATATACAGTCATGCCCATTTGTATTCATTGCTCCAATTTATATTTTCCAATGGTTTTTTAGGATAAATAGAGAGAATATATAATTATTGGAAAAAAAAAAGAAAACTACACTAGCATATGCACTATTACACTTCCCCAAAAAAAAAGTTGACAATCAAATACTAGTTTACTCCCAAAAATAAAAAATAAAAAATAAAACCCATAAATTGATTACAATACATTGCAAAAGTAAAACTACACTTCACGAGTGTTAAAATAATAATAATAATAATAATAACAATAATAAAAGAAAAATGACAGGCGATGAGGAAACAGAAGCCAAAAAAAAAAAAAAAAAAAAGGGGCACCACAATTGTGTACAGTAGAGAGCCTATGGTGCCTAGTAATATCCAGGCATAGGTGATTTTTGAAGAAAGAACTAGGTCAATTTTCGCCATAGAGATCCTTTGGAATGAGATAGGCACTTCACCCTTGGAAAAACAAATCCAGCTTTTGGGGGGTTTCCATCAACAAGTGAATGCTCATAAATCTCTTTACACTCTTGTACAACCTGTTTGAGACAATACGACAAAAATCTTATCCTCCAAAAATCAACACAAAATAAAAAGTCATAGAATAAACCCACCATAAGCAATGGAAGCAAATATCAAAATAAAATGGTTATAGAAAAAGAGAACACAGAATTTATGTGGTACGATAAAATATCTACGTCCACAGTGAGTGAAAAACAATCTACTAACAACAAAAAAAATTACATCACAACTCCTCGGCACTTGTTATTGCTCACAGTATCACACCCCCAACAAAAGAAAATCAATGAGAAACGTAAAGTGCACAGTGCATTCTGTGCACAATATCCTCTGTTCACCTAGCATTCCTTAAATCAATAAGTCTGGAAACAGACTTATTTTGTGGGTGAGTGGTTGTGTGGTGAAAATTAAATTTATACAGTGTGAAGTCTATATATAGAACAAATCGGAACCACAATAAGGTAATTCTAAATAATTTCTGAATAATTGATTCTGGAGTACACCCTTACAGCCACTGTGCAACTCTACAAAAAAACAACACACATGACCTTCGATTTCCCCCAAGACAAATTAGCTGCCAACATCAATCTAGGTAAATCATTTCACTAGCATATGCACTATTACACTTCCCCAAAAAAACTGTGAAAGTCTGTATCTGTAATAGCTTTATATATGTTGGGTCCCTACTTATCGCCAATTCCGTGAACAAGCTTGGCTTAATTGAGTTGTTGTTTTTCTTTTTTTTTTGGTCTTCCCGCTCGAGCGGGAAAAGCTACGCTCGAGTAAAGTTTGCACACTCAGAAGTTTGGCTTGTCTGCAAAAACTACTAGTAGATGTGATTTTACGCTTGAGCGTAAGTTCCAACGCTCGAACTTAGACCCTGTCTCGCCACACGTGTTTTAATGACACCGCTCGAGCGGTAAGTCATGCGCTCGAGCAGGAATCGCACCCTTATTTTTTATAAATATCTGTTTCAATCCGTTTTTAGGTTTAATGCTTCCAGATCTTCTTTAAGAGTTCTAGGGTTTTCTTCTGGAGCTATTTTTCTAGTTTTTCTTTGATGTTTGATTGAATATTACACTCACATGGTTTAACAAGCATACATCAAGGAGTTTGGTTGTTTGAGTGTTCTACTTCAAGAGTGTTCTTCAGTGGAATCCAAAGATTCAAGCGTGGAGTATTTGGAGGAGTTTGAAGCTATGTGCAGTCATTGATTCGACATGGCTGTTGTGGATTCAACATCAATCTAATCAATTATGAGACGAAGGTTGTGATGAAAGAGATACAGATTGTTGAAGACAAATTATCGGAGTTTGAATAATTTGTTTGGTAAATTTGTATTCCTTCTCTCTTTCATAGTGGATTGATTAGTGAAGATTAGCCCGTGATTTTTTAATCACAATTGGAGGTGCTCCAATTATGGTTTTTCCACGTAGAAATCTATAGTGTTGATTTATTGATTTTGAAACAACAATCTAAATCACTTTCGTATGTGCTAGATGATTTAGATTGTCTCTTTTAATTGTGTGGGTATTGTTGCAATTAATCTTGATCTAAATCACGAATCACTTATGCTGTGTTTGGTTGGGAGATTTGAGGAGGGATTTGGAAAGGGAAAAGGAAAAGGTGTGTGAAATTAGGTAAAACATAAGCATATTTTATTCACATTTCACCTACATTTTCCATTTCCATTTCCAAATCCCTCTCCAAATCCCCCAACCAAAAACAGCATTAGGTTTTTCAATATACATTCAAGATTCTATCACTTCTGTTCAAAAAAAAAGAAAAAGAAAAAAAAAGAGAAGATTCTATTACACTACCACTCCATTTCATATTCACAGAGCTTCTTGTGCCAATTCTAATTTCCCAAGACCAAACATCTACCTTTCCAAGCACCAAAAAAACAACTTGCTAAGACTTTTCATTGGGTTGTTTGGTACAACTTATCTGAATCGTTTAATTTTTTTTTATTTTATTTGTAGTGTTTGATATAATTTTTATTTATAATTTATTAAGCAAAAATAAGTTCAATAAATTAATTAAAGCTGAAATTCGGAAGCTGGGGGATGAGAAGTACTTTGGACTTCTGTTTTTGGATTATTAGCTTTTACTAGCTTACAATAAATTATACCAAACATCATTATTTCACTACACCATGAATACATCATTCCATTGTCACTACCCAAATAGCCATTGGGTTCCCCAAGGGCCAAAATACATTACTAATTAATTAATTATTTTTCTATAAACAAAAAAACCAAACAATAAGGGTAACCGGTGGTCTAGCATTCCAACCTTGACCCATCAACTCATGGGTCCAAACAATGGCATCTCTTCCCCTCCCCTTAGGTGTAGAGATGATGTTCTTCTTGTACTCGCACCCAAAAAAAAAAAAAAAAATAGATAGGAGTTTTTGTTGCTACTCCAATCACCAAAAGTTTTAGGAAAGTTTGCGGCTTATGATTGATGGGATCAAAACAAAAAACAAATGTTCTATGGATGTTGTAAAAAATAATAATAAGAATAATTAGTTGGGTTTCATTTTAAGAAAGGAAAATTGACATGCACCATATCCATCACAATTATTTATTCCAACACGTAAACTATTTGTTTGTGATCCCAATAAATGGTCTCCTAGGATTAGAAAACTAACTTGCCGTTTTTTTCCGAATGGAAGTGATTCAATTACACAAGACATAATGAACTTTTAGGATCAAGCATTTGCCATCTCACCAAAACCCGCAGATAGGCATAAGGGGCTGCACCATAAGCGCCAATGAGATGGGCTGTTAAGTACCAATGCCACGCCCATACGTGACAGCAAGTCCATAAGGTAATCGTTGGCCCCATAACCAACAATCTCCCCCAGAGACACTAGGGGACTCGAACCCATGACCTCACTCTGCTACCAGTCGTTAGGATCAGACGTTTGTCATCTTACCAAAACCCACATGTGAGCATGAGGGGCTGTCCTAGAAGCACCAATGGGATGGGCTGTCAAGCATCAATGCCACACCCATTGTGATAGCAAGTCCATAAGGTGATCGTTGGCCCCATAATCAACATTAAGGAATTTATTTATTTGAAATATACGCACCTCCTTTGCATCCTTCCGTGGTATGCCTTCTCGCAGTGCCACAAGTTTTTCAACAACCTCAGGCTGCAATACCAAGCCCCCCAAAAAAATAAAGACTTTTAACAAGAGTAATCCTGAGCAAAGGGATTCAGAAAAAACTACTAGTCTATTTCTTTCCCCATTTCAAGGCATGAATTAAATCAAAATCAACCAAAAACAAATTAATGAATGACAACTTAAAGTTTTTCTCCTAGTACTGAATTAGCAAGTGTCCAATGCATTAATTAATAGCTTGACGCCCATGAATGTGTTACATCACAAAACATTGTTCAATAGCACTTACCGGGCAGTCAGGGTGATGTTCAATGATATTTGTGTAAATGAGTGTGAAAGTATCCAAGCTCTCAGCTGAAGCAAGCTCTCTCAAGTCACTTAGAATCCTCACTCTGCTTTCGACTTTCTGTAGCACAAGCCACAACATTCAGTACATACAAACTGATAGAAAGAAATATATATCAAAGAATCATTGATATTTGATAGATACAAAAAAAAATTTCTGGAAGCTTATTAGATTGAATCTTACAGCGTGTGTATAAATCAAAGTGGTATAATTTAAGTTAGTTGCAAAAAACATGGTTCAGAACTTACAGAAACACTTATATATTCCCTGAAAAAATCCATTATGACTTCTTCATCCAGTCTCATTCGTTCAATAGTTTCTTCCTTGATGTAATTTTTCTACAATAACAAGCATCATTTAAATACTAAACTTGTGGAAAAAAGTATGTTACTGGAAAGTATATGCTAGAGCATATTAAACAACAGAAACATGATACAAGTCATTTTTCACAAAACCTGGGTGAGTAGATGGTCAACATAAACAATTACAGTTTCTTCCAAACAAGCTTCAACAAATCTCCTAAATGATCTTTCTTCAATGTACCTGAAGAAACCACATAACACAAGAAAATAAAAAATTGAATGTGGAACAACAAAAGAAACCAGGAATTCTGAGATATTTGAACATCGGAAGCTATTGAACAGCATACCCAAAATAAAGAAGGAAAACTTACATCTTTACATCTGTAAAATAATCACCAAATGTTGCAACTAGGTACTCTGTAACCTGGCCATCACACCATTCTGAGATACAGAAGAGAAAATCCAATTCAAATGCCAACATAACTATTTCTGGAGAAATAAAAAGTTGATTCATCCCATCCTCTCTTTGGTGACAGATACATATCAACTACTGAACTAGAAACGTTAAAAGTGGAAGCCAAACAAATAAAACATAGTCTAGTGTAACTATTTTTCTTAGGAATTGGAAAGGGGATGGAAGGTTATTCAAGTGTAACTGAAAAACAAAAAATGTAAGGTACTCTTCACTACCCATAATGTGGTAGGCAATAATAGAGAAATTAGGTAGAATATGGAAAACTACGAGATAATAACAAAAGAAAAAGTATAGTGATAAAAATTTATTCACCTTTTTGATAGAGCTTGACGAGTAATTCCTGCACTCCTGGATCTTCAAAGATAACACTAACAGTTTGATGCACAGCTTCCTACCATCAAGGAAGAATTAGGTATATATTAACCACACCAGTGGTAACCTTTCTAGGAAAACAAATTTTCCAGAAGGATGTATGGTGCAAGCCAAATAAAACATGACCACATATCCACCAGATATAAATCTTCAAAACATGAAATTGGAAATTTGTCTAGACTGAGATGGGAAAATTTACATTATCTATGTGGAGATAATTTTCTACCAAGGAAGTAATGAAGTATTCATGGAAGGTTGGCATGCTTTTATTGCAAAAGAAATAAAAATGATGTAAATTATTTCATTATGGATTACATCTCGAAATAGGCATCCTTGTTACCAATGATTCTCAAAACGTTAATGTTGGTAACCAGTAAACAGTGCCTTGTTTTAAGTTGAAGGCATCACAAGGTAGAAAGGAAGCTTAAAGAATGTTGGTAGAGGGGTTAGTGGGAAGATATGATGGCCAATGGTTCAATTAAGGCCATCAACTTAGCTAATCCAAATTGCTAAATCAAAGCCAACCCCAAGTAGTTAGGATTGTATCTTCAATAAGATGAGTGAAGATGTTATATAAATCAAGTCAACAACAGAACTCTTCAAATTAACAGGGGAAAAAAACTATTTTGCAATATTATGCTTTTCTCGACCTCTATATCACTTCACCTAAAACAAGAACCCCTGACCAGCCAACCAAACAGATTCCAATTACGTAAAAGCTCCCATTTGAACTATGCAATTTTCTCAAACCACCAATCCATATAAAAGCAACTATCAATCACAGATGCAAAAACCAACACCATTGTGGCACAAAACAACTAACAAGAATTAATTAACCATTTTAACTGGGAGACCTCTGCTAAAAGCCTCTGGACCAACCCATCTGTAAAGTGTTTAATACCATTTAAAGCAAAGAAACACTAGAAGAAACCGACAAACAGCAACAAGAAAAAAAATCTACGAGGACATTAAACTACATATTTTTAAAGGCTCAGCATTGCCATCAATAGAATGGAAATGGCAACCACAATAAAACCTCGGGCACATAATTAGCTGATTACAATCTTCAAACTGTTTGAAGGTTGGAGGTGTAAGCTTAACATACCTTTGCAACCTCCAGGAAACCTTTGCAAGTGTCTTCAAAATTAATCTGTGGAAGTGATAAAGAAACCAATTTCAAAACAAAACAGGAATCAAGATACATGTTTGCAATCTTCAACGCATAGAATTTATACTCCCAATATAGCATATCAAATTCAAGCGGTATTAAGAAAGTACAAGACCCTTAACAGATCTGGTGCTGCTATAGACATCCCTTAGGAAATGCTCGCCAGACTGATTGCTCATTTTCATGCATATCAACGAGTAATCATTTCATAATAATACATGAAATAAGTTTTACCAAGAAAAGTACTGCCAAAATTGGCACAAAGGTGCATGACCAGAAGGCCCAGAAATGAACTAGCAAGACATAAAAGGAAAGAATGCGAGAATGAAGTGATTCAAAGTAAAAAAAAAAAAAGAAAGTTTTAAGGTAACATAACCTGCTCAGCATAGCTCTGTGGAAGAGCTTCAAGAGTGCTGTTACTCAACTCCATGGCAAGATCATAGCAACGCAGATTGTTGTTAATCTGCCAACTCATAATGTTAATAGTGAAATATAAATGGTACTATATTTTGAAAAGAATAAATTATATGACCATCAGCTACCAATCTACAAAATTTGAATACCATTGCACATAAAGGTTCTAGACCAATTTCAGAGGCAGGTTCTTCAAGTCTCTTCCTTTCAGCTGCTTGAAAATCAATCATTACCTGTTGAGATGCATTGTGTACAGAGATTCAATCGAAGTATATTCTACATATGGAACATGTTTTTAACAGCTAGTAGATATAAGAAGTCAAAAAACACATGGTAATCAAGAAGAGCAATGGTAGACGCTGGTGAAAACCACCACCAGACAAATGAGTTTAAACCATGTCAGCATCTCACAGGTAGAGTAGTCATACACGTAGAAGTTAGAACCATTGCTCCCTTCTGTGCTACAGGGATCTCAAAATATATTACATTCATTCTAGTCAATATTATCAATGTGCAACAGTTCAGCTGCACAGCCAATGATAGTACAAGAAACTGATTGCAACTAAAATTCATGTACAATTTCAGATTCCTTGAGCTCTGGAAAAGATACTGTGATATTTTGAAATATTCCATAATGGTACAATTTTTTTAATTTCAAAATAGAAGGAAAGAGAAAGAAAAAAAGACAGCAGAAAAGTAATCTAAAACAATTTTAAGTTCTCATTGTATAAAAAAATGTCACTTTGCATAGGCTTTGATACCGTGAGTCTCAGGCCAACAAAATTATTGATCAAACATGTAAGAACTTCTGGGTTTTAACATAACTAATGCAAATGTGACAGTGAACTGAACCAAATATTTTAATATTTTAAAGAGGACTGGGAAAAAAATTACAGATAAACTTCATGCCAAGAAGATGCAGTACAAGTTGATAGAAGATTTGGGTAATAAAAACCATAAATCCAAGTGACACCATCTACTTGGAAGACAGGAAGAAAAGGATAATTCGGCTGCCACAAAGACTTGCAAGGAACACGCATGTCAAAGCAGCCATGAATGAGAAAGATCTACAAGTAACTTCAACTTGTTAAAAGACAGACCTCAAGATAGATGCATGACAAGTTTTGAAAAAAGAAATATATTGACAACTCTACAAACCCTGAGAATCAAATAAGCATATTCAAATGATCACAAACATGTAAAATTTAGCTACAACCAATACAAAAAATAACATCAAGGGTTAAACTTTCAGTCACGGTTAAAGACTCGTCAGTCCTATTTCAAATAGGGGTGGTTGACAATTGAACCTGATTTTTCCCATATAAAGGATGGTTTATCAAGAATATGCAAGAAAAGTAGATCAATATATTATGCAAAAAGAAGACAACAATGGAACAACTGTCCTCAACTAGAAGTAGAACATGTCCTCCCTTTCGATATGGTTTATATTTTAGGTAAAACTCGAAAAGCTGAACTTGCCTGAATAGTGGCCAAAGCAATTCGGTATAACATGACATCAGTGCTATTTTCCCGAACAATTTGTACTTGCTCACCAAGGATCCTAAACAGATCAACAGCAGAAGGTGTATATAGCTTTCCATCTTCTGTTTTCTTTGGTGGCTGTACCTTATCGGCCTCAAGGATATTCAAGTACCATTTCTAGAAAACACAATAAGAGCAAAAAGCAGAGGGAAAGATATGAGATCTGAGCAATGTCATAAACCACGTAATAAACCAGTAATGCTATCAGATAAATTATAGATACCCTTGTTGTAGCCTGCATTCTTTCAACATATGCGTTCATGAGGGGATCCATTGCACCACTCTCAGAACAAACTTGAGCTAATGACTCATCAACACCAAGTCCAATCAGATTTTCTTGATATTCAACCACCCAACCAGTCACCTAATTGCAATAAATAAGAATAATCAACAAAATGAAATTACAATTAGAAAAGAACAACAAAGTAAAATGAAGCTCACAAAACCACAAAATGAGAAACTCTTACAAAGTAAAGTTTCATTAGATAAGATGATAAAGAAGATAAAACGATAATTAGATAAGATGAAACATAGAATCATTATATAATTTGAAACTCATGACACAGCAAATGCATAGAAAAATGAGAAATCTTGAACAAGGAAGAATATTTACTCCTTGATTAAAAGGAATTACAATCCAAAGTGTAATAAATTTATATTTTTCATTCCACAATAACTTTTTAGCTGTCTTTTCAACTATAGTGCCACAAATTATGGAGACAGATGCTATTAATGTTTTTTGGTGATATGCAAATCAGAATAAATCAACATAGCAAAAAATCTCAAACAGCTTTTTGTCCCATACTCTTATGGAATTATGAATCACCATCTCCAACAGCCTTTTGTCCCATATAAAATAAACTGTGTCAAAATCGATCCGTAAAAGTATAGATGGTGATTCATAATTCCATGCATATTGAAAGTCGTAACAAATTTCCACTGTAGTTAGTAAACATATTTGGATCTAACAAAGTGATGATGTAACAAGAGTACATTGTGCATCCCTCCAACTAGAATGACGTATGGCTGTGACGTTGAGACATGGGAAGTAGTCATTTCACTATGCAGGTTTTTTATGCATGCACTGCTGTAGGAAAAAAAAAGGTGCCCTTATTCAAGTTTCCATATTTGAGATCATTAAAAAATGTTGACAATATTTCAAGCCCAGAATAGAAAATATAGAAATAATACCTTTAAAATTTCTAAATTAGTTAGATCATTTGCGCGTTCACTAAGCAGTCTCAGCCACTGAGTGAATCTCTCAGTATAAAGGTTTACCAGAAACTGGAATATTTCATATCTGCAAGAACAACAACCAAATTAAGAGAAGAAAAAGAAAGAAAGGAAAACAAAACATATTTATGGCACATCTTGACATTATATGCCCCCAACTTCAATTATAGCGCGCAATTACAAGAAAACATATGTGCACATAGAGATGGCAATGAAGTGGATACATGCTCCCCCCCCCCCCAAAAGGTGTGTCCAACCCCCAAATCCAAAGGTTCAAGAAACAGTGATGATGTTTTTGGCTCATCACACTGTTTGGTAATCAATATTTCAGGCATTGGCTCACAATACATAACCCAATTTATAGAATTTGTTAATCGAACTTGTTATAGAACCTATTAATATACCTGTTACCAAAATAGGTTAACAAAAATCTAAAGGAATGCTATCTCAAAACTAAAGGGGAAGTCTGGGAGAGAATTACTAGCTACGCTGCTCTTCTATGAGTTTTTATTACGTTATGGTCTGACTTTTACAAACTTCTATGTCTTCTAAGATGTGCAGTTGTAGTCTTTAGACTTTCTTTTAGATTTTTAGACTTCCAAGTAGTTCGACAGTTAAAGGATGGATATATATAGGTTGGATTTGGATTGGATGATACATGCCCCACCCCTGCTTCAGGTGCGGAAAAAGACACCCGCCCCTACCCCATCTCCTCAATGGATCAGGTAAAATCCGCCCCATTCACATCGGATAGGGTTAGGTCCCCATGGTTCAGGTCAAAATGATCATCCCTAAGTGCACACACCCTCACAAACATGCACATCAACATGCTGGAATTTATGAGCAGCAAGAAGAGCAAATCATAAAAGACAACAAAAAAATAAAACTTTACATATTACACCCTTCCAATTTGAAGCGAGCAACACACTAGCACATACAAAAACATGCATGCACAAAGGTAGGCACACAAACAAATCCATGAGAAGCAGCAACACTCAAAATACAGCTGTACACACACCAGACTATCTCGTTATTAATTGGCACTAAATGCAATAACTAGCGTTTTTTAGTAGATTTGCATGGCCCTAGAGTCAACATGTAACGGGCAGAGTGCCAAGTGAACATGCAGGAGGGAACAAGGACATCATCTGGAAGAAGCTAGCATCATGTATGACCTTGCCTTGGAAGGAAATCACAGTACTTTTTGTGCGGAGAAAATGAAATAACTATATTTAACAATAGCCGCTCAAAAGAAAAATCCAGCTTGATTTTGCTTGAATCGCTGTTTTTCTTAATTCAACAACCTCATCAAAGGGGTAAACATATAAGCAATAAAGATCAAGTAATAATAACGATGGGGTTGGTACATCATACACGCTGCAGTGAAGTAAAATGAAGTAGCATTTATTGTGAAACAATTAATTGTGCCCATCAACAAGAGATAACAGTTAGGGCCAAACTTGACAGCAACACTACATTCCCCAACATGTGTCGGCCAAGCATCCAAACCTAAACCAAACCAAACCAAGCCTTAAGTCACATCAAATGGGGTCGGCTACATGAATCTTTCTTCTCCACGCGGCCCTATATTCTTATAATTTTTAATGTTCTTATAACAGGATATGCTTCGGACGCTTGGGGGGGACACACGTGTTTATCGCTCAAACATACATAATGTAAAAATGTATGTATTATTGATTGATTGTCTTGATGTAGTGTTTTTATTACAATTACAAGGATTCCTATTATATAGGAGTTTGTTTGGGAGTAGGTGGAGAGTAGGTGAAGTGGAGGTGGTAGTGGTGTAGGTTTAGTGGAGTAGGTGAGGTGGTAGTGGTGGTAGGTTTATGGTAAATTCTAACAGCCCCCCGCAAACTCAAGGGGGATAGGAACTAACCAACTTGAGTTTGGAGATAGTAACAAAACAAAAAAATACATAAAAATAAAAAAGGATAGGAGACACTGTATGGTCGTGTCAGACCATTGGTGAAGACACTGGATGGTGGTGTCATAACGTTGTAGAGGACACTGTATGAGGGTGTCATAACGTTGTAGAGGACACGGTAGGGTGGTGTCATAATGGTGTAGAGGACACTGGATGGCGGTGTCAGACCGATGTAGAAGTAACTGCGTCGGGTCATGTCGGACCGTTGTAGAAGACAGTTTACGGGGTCATGTCGGACCGGAATTCATGATACTCTTGGAAATCATGATGATTTAGTGAGCTGTGTTGAATATTCTGCTGAAACACGTAAGATCTGGTACTGCCTAAGTTCTTATGTCATGTGCATGTGTGTGAGTTATCATGTCAGTGTTGGGATGTGTAACTTATACCTGCATTGTGATTTTAGGTATGCAAATGGCCATGTTTAAATAGGTAAAACTAGGTGTTTTCTATTTTTTGGTACACATTTTATCCTTTGAAATTTAGAACTTTAGCATTTAACTATATATTATCAGTATCATCCTTAAGTAGTGCATTCGTGGCGCATTTTGGTCATCACTACTTGCTTCAAGTCAAAAAAGAATAAAATATCAATGAAAATGATATATCATAACCTGACAAACATGGAAATTTCAGTGGATATGTTTCCAAGCATCAACACATTTCAAGTAAATATGGAAGCTAATAAATGTTAAAAAGTATCGTGTATAATATCAATGTATCAAGGTGAGGGAAATACAAATTGATGGATATTGCAAATTGTTGGACGTGCCTTGCTTTCTGCGAGACCCATACAATCATTATTTTTTAAATGTACTTGGATTAGGTTGTAAAGTCTGGAATTTGCTAGGAATCCGTTATATGAAAGGTTTTAATAGTTGTATGGGACTAGGATTTATTGGGTTTGCCTATAAATGGGGAAATTGTGAGATTGAGAGGGTTTGTAGAGACGTAGGGGAGACAGAAATTCTGGGGGCATCGAGTGTGACCTGGGAAGATGGTGTTGCTTTTTGGGTATCAGTTATCCTTGAGCGGGGACATGGGTGTTGTTCTAGGAATTGGGTATTGGTGTCGGTTTTTTCTTGGGTGTTTTTCATCTCATGTTTATGTACTACCGTTTATAGTGGATTGTCTCTCACTCAATGACGTAGACAGGGTTGGGCTGAACCATGCAAATTCTGTGTATTTTTCTTTTCAGTGTGTGCGTGGTGTGCTTGTTTTTGTGGTTGTGGGAGGTGCAATAATCCCAACAAGTGGTATTAGAGTCATTGTGGTCAACCTGAAATCATGGAGATTTAGAGCATGGGAATTTTTTTTGGGTCTCATTCAAAAAGATCAAAAATTTTGATTCACACAAAAAGAGAATATCATAGTGGTTGATCAATTGAAAAAAAATCGAAATCAGTGAAGGATGCAGACATAATGAACAAGAGTGTTATTTGTTTGTTGGACATTTTTCTTTTGCTGTTAGTTGGGTTAATAGCATGAAATGATGAAAAAAGAAAAGATTAGGCTTACAAACAATGAAGGCTAGTGCACGAAAGGATTATTGTGTTGAGGTTGTAATGGGTTGTGATTTAGTGCCACACATGTTCTGATTTCACAGTTTCAAATTTTTCTGTTAGATGAAAATATATGCAATAGAAAGATTCAATGTATAGGTGTTTCTAAATGTGTTTTAGCATTGTGGATTCACTGGTTGGTTCAGATTTTTCAGATTCTGAACAGTTTGACAAGATTGGACAAATTCGACAGAGATCATGATTGATCAAAGGGGATCGGGTTTGATTGCAAGTGATCAAGGGTGATCGGGAGCAAATTGGTTCAATTAGGGGTGAAAGACCAGTCATCAACAGGAGCAACTTGGATTTTAGTTAGGGCTGTTCAAATATCTGTCTGACCCGCCTAAAGCGATCGATTTGATCCAACCCGACCATGTACGGACGGTTTCTTCACTAATTTCGGTTGGCAGTGGTTGAAGTTGCAAAAAATTTTCATTTTGGCGGTCGAGTGCCGGATTTAAAGAATAAAAAATCAATTAACCCGACTTGCCCGATGTATTAAACGATGCTTCTATCCACGCTTTTGCTTTTTATTAGTTGGAGATATTAAAATATTATTAACAGAAGGTATTTATTATAGTTTTATTTCATCTGCCAAGATAACCTAGGGAATAGACATGTAAAAAATTGATGTATTATTGATTGATTTATGTTGTATCAATTACAATTACAAGGATTCCTATTATATAGGAGTGTGTTTGGGAGTAGGTGAAGTGGAGGTGGTAGTGGTGTAGTGGGTTAGGTTTAGTGGAGTAGGTGAGGTGGTAGTGGTGGTAGGTTTATGGTAAATTCTAACACATAAAACACATAATAAGTTTGAAGAAAGTAACTTGGGATCCAATAGTAAAACAAAAGTAAATTTATACCCCTGTTCATCCCTCCACCTTTAAACTTCTTAACTTTAGGAATTCTAAAACTCAAAACTACCCCCTTTTTTTTATTTTTTATAATAGAGCTTTCTAAAATAGATAGTAGGATTTAAAGTGTCAGCATGCCCATATTGTGTCATATCCATGCCTCACGTCCATATCTCTACTTCTTAGGTTTCTGTATTTATGACTATAAGGCTCATACCATATACTTGCTTTTAAACCAGCTAGACAAATCACATGTCTTGTAAACCATTTCAAACAAAACAAAACCTGACTGAAAGATCTGCTTTCACAAGCTTGACAGAAATACAAAGGACTGGTTGAAAATTTTTAGTATGATGAATTTGTAAATAAGGTGACTTTTTACATTATGCTTGAAGTTTATTTGATTTGGAACTACTGTGAGCTTTATAGGAGTAGAAACTCAAACAATTGAGCCCTTTTAAGCAATCCAACGAACAAAGAGGCACATATGGGTGCGTAAGTTTTTCACCAAATAAGGTAGTCGTCATTAGATAACCAATTATCCCAAAGCTTAAACTATTGAAAAATATGCCTAATGATGTATAACAAGCTATTCAACATCCTTCCAATGTGAGACTTTGTCTCGCATGTGAAGAGGCAAGCAAATGAGCACAAAAACTACTGAATTGAACAAGGTGCACAATACAAACAAATAGTGCGAAATAACAAACATAATGCAGGACAAACACAAACTACAAGACTTAAATCCAAAGAACTCTTGAAACTAAAGCTCTAATGCCATGTAAAGTTAGTCGATACAAAGAATATGGGACATATAGAAAAGAGAAAATAGAGAACAGAATTAAACATAGGAGAAGAGAAGGAAAAAGGACCCTTATTGGCAATGGCTCTTTTCTGTTTATATCATTAGGAAAGCACAATTCCCAGTTTACCCTTATGATAAATATTTATATCTCCACAGTCACCATGCTAGCCTATATTTTTGCATATTGTTAATTATCTCGCTCACAATCGTACTCAAAGTAGCTATTTCTCAATGACCATACAAAAGTAATGAAATTAAGCAATTCAAGGAAAACACCTCCAAATATATTAATAGAATTTAGATAAATAACTAAATGATAGACTGAAATCAAAGAGCTATGAGCAGATTCTAATAAAGAAAGTACAAGATATAGATTTAAAAAAGGACGAACCTTGGAGGAAAACAAGGAGCCACGTAGTCATATATATCTCCAAGCTCTTCTCCAATCTGAAAGTCAAAAATGGAAACTGAATGTCATCATAAATCAAGGCAAAAATTTAGTTACCAACATTTGACACCAAGAATAGAATCAAAGAATTACTACAGACATCTGAGTAGATATAAGGTTCATGCAATAGTAGTTGAAATTTAGAAAAGATTAAATGACCCACCACCCAGCATTATCTGTTCTTATCCAGTTGACCATACACACACATAAAAGGGGGATTTACTTTCAAAGTTAGATAATTATAAGGTTACAATTACAAGTTGCATCAAATTTGATCTTGAAGCAAGTTATGTCAATTTTGCCACCAAAGCCCTATATCATTAACACTACTAAGAGTGAGCTAGTGACATTTCCCATCATATTTCACTAAGAATGATATAAATCTCAGGATTAGACCTTCAGCAATGAAACAATAGCAAGGCACATTGCTTTCTAAAGATACTTTTTGTGTCATACTGATATGATCTCACAAACTTTAGTGGGCCTTCCACTATAATCATTTTCAATACTTGAAACTGATTTATATATTTAGATTGGATATCAAGTCAAAGCATATATTTGAATCAAATTTAAATGCAAGGAAAGCTCGTATATTAGATATCCATACTGCCATTAACTTTTTACATATTGATACCACATCTATTACATTGCATAGCTAGATAAGTAGAAAAGGCTTCAGAAGCCTCAAATGAAGGTTGTAGGTCCCATGATCATCAAGAAGACTTTTTGATACAAATGCAAGTGCCATGGTGGTGTTTACTTATATATATATATATATATATGTATTCCAAATTATTATGTAGTTAGACAGATGCTATATCATTATATTAAGTTTTAGTAGATAGGGGTATTTTGGTAAATTAGTAAAATCTAAACGTGGGTTCACAACCCTCAAAACATTCCTTTTTTCCTAAACCCAAGCCAATCAAGTTCAAATCATGCCTATCACTCCACCCTACCATTTGGCCTTTTAATCCACTATAGAAACTCTTGATTTCACTATTGTCCAGTTAAATCTAGCCTAGTTTCTCTGCAAATACTACAACCTGACACTACTGAAATCAATTCAATTTAAACTTCTTCCTTCTTACAAACACAAATCTTTCGTCTATCTCTTAAACCTTAACCCTAGAAGCTTTCCATAACAAGAACCCAACACAATTCCAATTGTAGGCAGCCTTGACCAAATTTGCTAAAGTTGTCCTACATCACAGATTTTGCAGAATTTTCTCTTTTCCCACTTTCGGAAACATTAAACTCCAATGTCAAAGTGAATCCATTGAAATCAAAATACGTGCTTACTGAAGCTTTTTGATCCTTCATGTTATTCTTCTATATGAATTTGAACCTAAGTGGAAATTTATGCTCCTTTGACTGCAAGGCAACCCCTCAACTATTAAAGAATAAAAGGAAAACAAACACAATAATGTCAGGCAACAATCAGATGTGCGTACCATTCGAGCTTCCTCTAAAGCTGCTTTCAGGTCCTCAAATACAAGCTGTTGCACAACAAGATTTCAATAAATAAAAAAAATCAAAATATTTCTCTTCCTTTGTTATGTAACAGAAATTCTGAAAGATACACCTCCGACAGCAGTTTGTTAAAACGGTATTCAACAGTCTTCCTTATTTGCTCATAGCATTTATCCCTGTACCCTTTTCCTTGGACCTTCACTTTCTGCTGTGTAAGGTTTCTAGAAGATGCTGTCGTGGTTGATTTTCTGCAGGCCAAAAGGAAACAATCACCACAACACATCAATGCATACTTTTTTGAGTAATAGAAGGCAAAAATACGTTGCTGAAATAGAAAAATGAAGAAATCAAACTGGAAAAGGCAAGAAATTATCAAGTAGAGAGCTGATACACAAAAGTAATCAAGGTAGATACCTGTCAGTTCTGCGAGGATTTGAAATTGTTGCCATGGCTCCAGCTCCCTCAGCCTCAGCTGCTTCCTCTTCAAGTTGTTGATCAATGATTTCCTGCATTTCAACTACCCTACAGAAAAAAGTGGGGAGAAAGAAAATTTATAATCAGATAAGAGTTGACTAAAACTAAATCATAGAATTATATATTACAATATACACCAGCATGCTGCACAATATATTCACCTTTGGGAGAAGAGAATGGCACACATATTCTATGAGTTCCAAAAGAAAGGTATGATACAATTTTTTTCTTTTTTTTTTTTTTCAAACTCACAGTAGGGGGGTGCTACTCTAGCCTGGATCTGGAAAGGGGAGCAACCCCCCAATATGGGGCTTGAACTAACAGCCTCCACTATGGAGGTTGGAGAGCATACTACTGTGGCACCAGGCCATGGGTAAGATAGAATATATTCTACAATCTAGAATACTGAAATATATCATGCGGCACATGCCTGAATGAGTTATCCTCTTATTAATGCAATATCTTTGGGAAAAAATAGATTTCACTCACAGTCCGCAGTTCTACGCAAGCATAGTATCCTTATATTATACAATCAAAACATATCCACACTTCCGAATACATTAAACACTCAATTTGAATCAAACATACCTCAAAGAACGAACCAAAGTTTGTGGGCTGCCAAAAAAGACAAAAAATGATAAGTGAGCACACATGAGCATCGTCAAGCATATAAAGGGCATTAGTAAGGAGTTGAAGGATGCAGGATATAGTCAATAGTTGATGTTAAAAAACATGTAGCATAATCATTTTGCAATGAATTACATAAGGTTATCACAAGGATATTACATTCCCAATCAAATACAGAACTGGCAAAAAGCAAACTAATATAAAAGCACCTGTTGTGTTCCATTATTGAGGTGCCAGAAATGCCCTTCAGTGTTAAGTCCCAATTCTTCTACCTATTTTGCCCTCGCTACAACTCCACTCTCAATTCCACCATACTGCTCCAATTGAAGATGTTCCACAAATAAAGGCATCAATGCTTCCTTAGTCTCCCTCCCAAATACAAAGTATTTCCTTCAGTTTAAACAGATAATGAAGATTTTCAAACTGTGTTTCTTTTTTCCTTTTCCCCCTTTTTCATTGTTTTGGTAGGTATCTAGAAGTTGTAGCTTTGGGAGCTTTTCCTTGATTGTGTTTGTATCCAGAAGAAATACAATACAAATTTCCACTACCAATTTACATCTGCATATTCTATGGTATCCATACCCAATCCCAACTTCATGCATATCATGAATAATTTCATTTCCAAATAAGAAGAGTTCATTCATCAAAAGTCCTTATCCATCGTTTAGAATTCCTCTATAAGTATTTTAATGAATTGCCAAAAGAGTGCATATTTGCTGTAACCAGATGTTCAAAAATTAGTCAAAGGCAAGTAAACGAGATTAAGAAGATTCTCTAATCTATGCTCATCAGGTGTTAGAAGTTCTCTCACCATTTATGCAGCTCAATTAAGCTCTGACCTCACCAGATGCTTAGTTCCTAAATGCTTACCTTCTCTCCTTTAATTGTTCCAGCTATTGGAGTAACTTCTTGAAAATTCTATTGTCATCAGTTAAGATAATGAAACAAAGAATCTTAATCAGAGTAAAACAAATAGAAATTTTGATTGGCTGAATTTGTCTGAAATCACTTTAGTTTCTACTCAACCCAACCCAACTCAATTAAGCCTTTCACAACCATTTGGGGTTGGCGAAAAAATCCTTTTTTTCCAGTCCGCGCTATCGAAGGTCATAAGCTCAATTAAACCACGAGATAAACATGTCTTTCTTTATTATCTCAACCCAAGTTAATTTTGGCCTCACTCATTATCCCCCACCATTAATGGTGCAGTACTCATAGAACCACATATAAAATCCTCAATAATATCTTGCATAAGTGAGTGCTTCAAGATTATACTAACACTACCTAATCACCATGTCTTTTTTAGTGCAAGTCTGTATATCTCTATTTGTGTAGAGAAAAGAGGGAGATTTTTTCCAAAATATTGTTCTAGGTCAGCTCAACTAGCAGACAACAAGTTTACACTCAGGTAACCAACATTATATAAAAAAGAAAATAAAACAAATACATATGTCATGGCCATGAAAGTAACAAAAAGTTGTAAAAGCATTTTAATAAATCTGGTTCCATGAGATAAAAACATTCTTTAGATGCAAAAAATAAAGACAACTTATTCACATTCTCCAGCTAAAAATGAGTATACCTTTCTTTGGCAAGTTTGAAGAAGTTGGAAATATGACCCCAAATTGTCCCCTCAAATGTCTCCCAAGTACGATCTACATCTTCGAAATATTCTCTGAGAAATATATATTCCACATTTTATATCCACTATAAACAAGTTAATCAAACTCACAGTACGGTTCTCCATGAAAGAACTACATCACAAACTTATTGATGGAGTCATCACCACCATCTAACAATTTTTAGTACTGTGATGTGGCAAAAACATAGCTATGACCTTCTAATTCCAACTGAGGGCAAGCATTGAAGTGTAATTTATGATGGATGACTTGGTTGGCAGGCCCGAAACAAAATGAAAATGAGAAATTTTTCTACCACCACCAACTACTATATTTCAGAATCAGGTGGTACAAAATGGTTGAGCTGCTGAGAGAACAGAGGCACAGGATAGCAGAATCAGGTTTGCTCCTAATCCTAATGGACAACTATTTTCGAGTAATTAAAATTTGCATAAATGTGTGTAAGCGCACATGTATCAAGAGAGCTTCTCAACCAATAGAAATTTGTAGCTCATATTGAGCTTACTTGAGGGCATCATAATGAACTTAAGGAGCAAATTCTGACCTCAATCTGCCAACCTCTTCTTTGTGAGATGCTGCAGCCGCTAATGCAAACCTCCGTTTTCCATCAAGAGCCGTTAACCTCTATGACAAATTTAGGATTAAAAATAAAAGACATGGAATTGATACTCTGTATGGGAAATTCTGGATTTACTCAGCTCTGAACTGATTAAGTCGAGTAGCTCTACCTCGTAAGTGTTAATGAGTTCCTTATCATCACTCAAAGAATCCCGTGCCTCAGCAGCTTCGACAGAAATGGACATCATCCCCTCCACATCCTACAAAAAATCAAGATGTTAGATGGCCAGTTGGCCACTACACAGCCAAAATAATAATAATAATTCAAGCCTCTTGATGTAGAGTTTATGGAAGCCATTTTTGCTAGAAAAGGTTTAACAACATAAGCATGATGGCATGTAAATCCAATGTCTCCCATCCCTTCCATAAGAGTTTAACACATCAAGCAGTTAATTGGTATTAGTACCCCATTGGCAGCTTTGGTGGCATTGAAGCCAAAGTTTTCAAAGGCTTTATTGAGGCTCGCCTTGCCTTGAGGCTAAGGTAAAACGCATCAAGGCTTTGATTTTTAGGCTATACTCCCTAAAGGCTTGCGCATCACAATCTGAGGCATGTGCCTTAAGTACGCCTTGTATGCCTTTTGCACATAAGCCTACGACACGTACAGATATGAAAAGGCATGCGCCTTAAGTGCGCCTTGTATGCCTTTTGCGCATAAGCCTATGATGCGTACACATATGAAAAGGTTGCCTTAGACTCTTGTTAAACTTAGTCTAGTAGATAGTTTAAACATTAAAAAGAAAAAACAAAAAAGAACCCTTTTTGTGACTATATTCTATAGAAAACATTAAGTAAATGAACAATGAACAAAAAAACAAAGTCAATGCTCAAGTGAGAAGCTCAATCACTAAAGCTAAGAATATCAATTTCACTTTCAATGAAGACAAACTTCATTCTCTGCAGAAATGTTTAATGGCTTAAGGAGAAAAGTATTTATACCTTTTTCTTTAATTTTTATTTGTTTTTCACTATTTTAAAATATTTAATTTATTTACTACATATTAAAATTTAAAAATTGAAATGCTTACGCCTCAATGCCTATGCCTCGCCTCATGAGGGGTAAAACGCCTCAAGTTACACATTTGCCTTTAAAAACTTTGATTCAAGCATACAATTTATAGATAACCAATAAAATGCATGTACAAATCCAACATACGTTAGCATACTTAGAGATTATAATTAGAAAATTTATATATTAAAAGGTAAGAAACTAAATTTTACCTTCAAAGTTGTGTTCAAGTTATTCCTTGCATTGCTGAGGAGCTTTATCTGATCATGATTTTCAATTAATGTTTGGCATTCTTGACACAGACTGGTCCACACGGAAAGCAATCAGATAAGCATCAAGCTAAATACCCATCTGTTTGTCGCAGTTTAAAAGGAACAACTTCTAACTTTTAGCTTTAGTTTAGCTAAAATAACATGTTTGATGCTTAGTAGCAAGAAACTCCCACTGGAATAATGTTTTTTACTTAGAAACTCAATTCCAAGCTCCCACATAAGAAGCTTGTAAGAAACTCACTCCCGTCGATGAAAAAACTCAATCTCAACTAGATAGAACCTCCCAAATATAAACCAAACCAAACCAAACCAAGTCTTAAATCCCATCAAATGGGGTCGGTTACACGAATCCTTTTTCTCTAGGCGGCTCTATCAAAGGATAGGAAAAAAACAATTTGTAATTGACATCAACCTCCAATATTTAATTCATATTTTAATACATATATTACAACTAAGTGGAAAGAGAAATTTATATTTATATATTTAATATATATATAATACATAAATGCTCCCATAAGTGCTCCCAACTATATAAACTTCAGTAAGCCTTCGCTCCCCCTCCCCCACTCCTACTCCCAGTCCCAGCCTTGTTTCATGCCACTAAGGTTTGATGTAGTCTGTGGTTAAATAACTGAGGTTTATTTCCAGCTTATTTGAGGCCAAATAAGCTAATTTTCAAAAAAGCAGACGAGTGGGTGCCTATCAACATTCAACTTTTTAATTGAAAATTTACTTAAAAATTCAGAATCCTTCTGAAGTATTACTATCATGCCGCTATATAGACAACCCATCCCCCTCATTTCTCTTCTACTCCCAAACCTCTATGGCTAATAGGAGCAAAAAGGACAGTTACACAACAAAAAGCCACTTTACAACTAATTTAAACAAACACTATGCTATTTAAATCTATAATTCAACTACTGCACCAAACATGTTAAAAGCTTCTGCTCAAAACTATTATCTATAATCCACCATCCGTGCTAACAACTGCACCAAACAGGCCCTATTCATATTGCATGTATTACCAAACAAGTATAAGAAAAGCAGTTAATAGAATAAAACCCTCTGAAATAGTTAGTATGTTGACTCAGAATGCCTTGACAAAAACATACTTTTCAATAGAAACAAAGTTCTCACGAAGATGGTTTATTGACTTCTCAGATGAGGAAAGTGATTCAAGCCCTGCTTGTGCCTGTTCAACCTGCATCCCAAGAAATACTTTCACTAAATAAATTGAATAATGAATAATTATGGTGAAGTTTCAAAAGCTCTACATACTTTTTAAGACACAGAATCTGAGAGCAAAAACAGGGCCCACAACAATATGTTCTGAATGTTAAAGATAGGAATGAAAGTACCTGTTCTGCAACCATTGTACTGAGTTGTGCATCATTTGCCTGACATTTAAGCACACAGAAAAATTCAGTAATCAACCCAAAAATTCTTGTACAATATATAACACATCTAATGTAAAATGCTATCACAATATAGATGCATAGGATCCAAGCTTCCCCAAAATCCACGGAGCAGGTGAACTCATAATCATGGATATTTAATTCTCACCAACTTCTTGACTTGAGATGGACAATTATGAGCTTAGAGTTTCCTAGAAGCAGAGTCAAGTGGCAGCAATAAAGAAATCCACATGCAGAATGCGAAAGCCTTAAGCTGAGAGGCCTAAGCTACAAACTCACTATAATTCTAGTATGTAACACAGGCAAAACTGTAAGATCTGGTACATAAGATTAACTTTTATACCATTGAGCAATCATAGATAATGGGAAACAAATAATGGTACATCATTAATTCATTTTGCCTATTCCACTACCAAAGAACTATCTCAAGGAAGTCACCACATACAGGCAGATGATATTATTATTACCCACTCAAAGAAACTTAGTGTGCACGAGCGCCTTACTACTAAAGATTAAAAGCCTTTCTTATTTTACATAACAGGTCAGCAGACATGGGCTAATAGCTTTTAATATCTCTAGCATCTAGTTTTACCACACCAAAAAAAAAAAAAAAAGTGCAAAAGAGAGACTTACAAAGGAATTAAAGTCTGTCCCATTTAACTTAACAAAAGAACTAGTCTCACAAAAATAAATAAACAAATAAACTTAATTGAAAATTGAACCAAAAAAGTAGCCACAATTTGGTCACAGAACAAAAAACACTTGCCTCATGCATAAAATAAACCACCTGACAATACTAGGCACATGCCTCGGGGCCACATGCTTTATCTCACAAACTTTTGAGGAACTTAAACTTCTAATTCTAAGCCTTTAAAAAAAAGTCAATTTGCTCGATTCAAACCCCAAGATCAAACCCAAGAGCATCAAACTAAGTTACATAAATCTACAATGTCAAATGACATTGCTGTCCAGAATATGATTCAGCACTAAACAGTTCAAAGCTTATAAAGTCCCATTTTCACATGGAAAAAAACAATGGATTTTATCATGACAAACATTTGAACTAACTTGAGACAAATTTAAATCGTATAGAACATAAAGCTTTTAATTGCATATAGAGAAATTTTTAATCAGTAAATTTAGGTGTGGTTTGGGATTTGGCTTTTTGGTTTTTTATGAGGTGAAATGTGTTTGGTAATGACTTTTTAATGGCTTTTTTAGTTGTGTGGAATGACTGATACGTATGCTTGCTTTTTGCCTTGAATCTGATTTTTCCCTTGGTAGAGAGTCAAGCAATGGTACAAAATTGAGGGCACATTCGTCTTTTTACACTGATGCTTGGCAGCCTTTAGCAATCCATGCCAAACACAAGTTTTTGTGTTGAATTTTTCGCTTTTTGGTTTCTTTAGCCTAAAAACCAACTCCCCAAACGAGGCCTTATTGACGACAACTGAATATTTACTGAGGAAAGGAATGGCATACCCATAAGCGACAAATAATCTAAAGGTTGGAAACTAAGTTGAGCAAAATTGTCTAATTGGTGTTCCCAGAATACTACTGTCAACTATAACAGCTTTCAGTATAGAAAAATATAGGCGCAATGATACTATTACTTTGTTCTGAAGAACCAACAGCAGCTAAGCTACCAAGCAAAAAACAAATGCAGTGTTGTGACCAACCAGAACACCAACTAGAAGACTCCCAGTCCTATACAGGCCCCGCTTGTTTTCCTCCATCACAGTCCACTCCGGACTATGAATGATGAACAGTGAAGATGCCTCATGTTTGTTTTTGTTTTGGAGCTCTGGATTCATAGTCCCTTTCGAACTACGATAGGCCTTGGCGAGGTATTGTCAATCTGGACGAGGAGGTTGCATTAGAAAATAGTCTGTTCGACTTAGCGTGTTACCGGTCGTCTGCCCGGACTTCCAGCCTGTCAACCAATCACCTGCAAATTTTTTATTTTTTATTTTTTATTTTTTATTTTTTTACACGTTGGGCATTTTTTTTAAACATTAATGCTTAATGTTTTTATTTTTTTTGTTAAGTAAAAATTATAATTTAATTTGTTTTATTACTTTATATTTATTTAATTTAGCAATCCATACACTAACAACTATCATCAAAACAAACACAATTTTACAAATCACTATCGATCCCTTCTATTCTACCTCTGAAAACAAACGGACCCGAGTTGTCATAACACCCACATTATTAGTAGCAAAATGGAAAAATCATGTTTGGTTTAGTTTTCAGAAGCTTGTTTTAGAATTTTTTCTAAAAGACTCAAAATTAATTCGGCGGGAAAAAAAAAATCAAAACATTTATTATTTTTGTATAATTTTATCTTTTGGGAGGCCAAAAATAAATTTTAAAAATTAAAAAAATATCTGTTTAATATTTATTTTTATCAAATTAGTTTCCATTTTTTCAAGAAAAAAAAATCTGAAATTGTTTTCTAAAAAACATACCAAACATAGCCCAATGTCCCCAATTGCTTGAGCAAGCCATAAAATGACAAATATATCCAGTTCCAAAAGATAATACAACAGATCAAAGCGATCGAACAGCAACTCATACCAATTCAAGTTCAAATTGACTTCCCAAGGTAAGTGAATTAATCTAGACTAGCAATTAAAACTAACAAAAACACAGAACAGAACAAAGACCAAAAGAATTCTCAACTTCTTATTACTGTCTCTATGTATTCACTATTCAGTAGAATGCAAAGTTACTATCTCCATTAATTTTAGCCCAATATACACAACTACTTTTCCAGCAGATCAAGTCCAATTCATGGATTTCAAACTCGAACAAACAGATGACCTAATGCGACACTTTGAAAACAACACAATCAACAGGAATTGAAAGTAAAATTGGAAATTGGAACCTGTTGACGAGTAATGTAATCGGCCTTGATAGAAGCGATGGATTGCAGGAGCTCGGGAAGAGGCAACAGCTTGGCGACCTCGCGAACAGCAGCTTCTTTGGCTTCGATGCCGAGATCTTCGCCCATCATTTTTGCGGAGACCTGTACAGCGTGTGCGTGTATAATCTTACAACCGCACCGCCTCAATTTATGTGTCTGCTTCGTCTATATGGAATTACTTTTCTAACCAGATTATTATACTATTATTATTATTATTTAGACGCTCTAATTTTATTTTGCATATATATATTTTTTTTAATCTTTAATAATTTGATGTTGTGAATGTTTACATTGTAAAATATTTACATTATTAATGTGAATATTAAAGTACATTTTGCCGTATTATATTTTGCTGTATTATTATTAAAGATATTTTGATAACTATATCACTTAAAAAACTTATTAAAACATAAAAAAATAATTTAAATTAAATAGAACCTAAGTAAAAAGGAAATTATAAATAAATGTCCCTTATAAAATACATTATTAATGTGAATATTAAAGTACATTTTTCCGTATTATATTTTGCTGTATTATTATTAAAGATATTTTGATAACTATATCACCTAAAAAAATTATTAAAACATAAAAAAATAATTTAAATTAAATAGAACCTAAGTAAAAAGGAAATTATAAATAAATGTCCCTTATAAAAATGTACTGTGCATTCTAAGGAGAATGGATAAAAGATGAACAAAGTATATATATGAAGACTCTGACAGAAGTGCACTCTTTTATTTTTTTTATCTTTTTATGTTACATTATTTTTCTATTTTTCTATATATTTTTTCATAAAAAGTCAATAAGTATATTTATTACATTATTTTTCTATTTTTCTATATATTTTTTCATAAAAAGTCAATAAGTATATTTATTTAAATTATTCTAAATACCTTCTTAAACTTTTTGTGGACCAAAGTTCACAAAAAATAAAAATAAAATTAGGTTGTCTATGTTGAAATTTGATCGGATTTGTTTGGTTTCAAAAAATTGAATACACTTTTTAATTTGTTTGGTTTCAAAAAATTGAATACACTTTTTAGAAAAATTGAGTTTTTATATTTTATTTTTTGTGTTTTTATATTTTTAGTCAAAAATTTTAGGCCATGTTTGGTTGGTATTTGTAAAATAATTTTTAAAAAGAGTTTACAAAATTTAAAAATTTGTTTGATTGTATGTCTAGTCCAACCTATTGTGGGCCTATTTTGGGTCTGTTTGATTTTTCAAATCGTTTAATATGTAGAGCTTATCGAATACTTTATCTTTATAAAAAATCAAATTGATTGAATATCAATAACCACTTGATTAGATTATATTTTGGTGAACAATTTATTTTTAAATAATTATTACCATTGATACAAATTTGATCTGATAATGTGACTATTGATATCCGATTAACGTGATTTTTTACAAGTTAAAGTACTTAATAAGCTCTACACATTAAATGGTTTGAATCATTGATGTGGGCTCCGTGGTAGGCCCACAGAGGCCCAACAGCACACTCTAATCCAATTTTGGACGAAAGACAAGTCACTACCTTTGAAAATAATTTTGGAATTTGGAATGATTTATTTATTATTATATTATTGTTTTTTGTAGTTGAATAGATAGGTGTGAAAAAAAAATGATTAATTAATGTATAGGATGTGAGAGAAAGAGAGAGGATAGAAAAAAAAATAATTGATTGATGTGCAGTAGAGAGAAAAGTAATTTTGGATTTAAAAAAAATGATAATAATAAATTTCAACCAAACATATTTTTGAACTTTTTTCTCAAATTTTTTCCCCAATAGACAAACCAAATAAGACCTTAATATTTTAATATTTTTTTTTTATTTTTTAGATGCAGCTAACCTAAATACTTTAAAAAAATATAATATTTATGAAAAACAAATCTTTAAAAAAATTCATCAAATATCAAAAATATCAAAAAAAAATTTAATAAATTTTCGTATTTTTTTGTATTTATTGAATTTTTAAAATATTTTTTGATAAAAATTTTACTTTTTAGATGCATCTAAGTTATGTGTATTTAGAAGGTAAAAAATTTACTTAGAAAATTTTAAAAATTCATTAAAAATAAATAATAAAAAAACATGAAAAAAAAATTAATTTTATTGTTCTTGGCGCAAAACAAATATAATTCAGACTTTGATAAGCATTTTATCTTTTAAGGGGAGGAGGGATCGGGGGGAATCAAATTTAAATCCGTATGCATCTAACTTAGATATATTAAAAAAGTATAATATTTATGAAAAATAAATATTTAAAAAATTCATCAAATATGAAAAAATACAAAAAAATATTAAAATTTAATATATTTTCATATTCTTGTATATTTATTAAAATTTTAAAATATTTTTTCATAAACATTTTACTTTTTAGGTGCATCTAAGTTATGTATTTAGAAAGTAAAAAAATTATTTAAGAAATTAAAAAAAAATCATTAAAAAAAAACATGAAAAAAAAATTCAATTTTCAGAAAATTAATGAAAACCTAAGCTGAGGACATTTTGTTAAAATTTTCAAAATGCAAACACTGGCTCAAGCTATTGTTCTTGTCGAAAAACACATATAGTTCAGAATTTGTTAAGCATTTATTTTTATTTTTATTTATTTATTTATTTATTTTTTGGGTAGGCGAGGAGGGATGGCGAAATGAAATTTAAATCCGCATGATTTAAGATAATTTTTTTAAAAGTGGTATTTATTTATTTTTTGGGTAGGCGAGGAGGGATGGCGAAATGAAATTTAAATCCGCATGATTTAAGATAATTTTTTTAAAAGTGGTTTTTAAATAAATTTTTATATGGCTGAAATTTAATTCTAGTTGAGAATATAATAGTACTAACTTGAAAAAAATTCATTACTCTAAAAAAAAAAAAAAATCCCTCTAGAAAACTCCGACTGGATATTATTCTTGGTTGATATTAGGATGTAAGAAAAATCGAAACAACAACTAAACCGATTGAATCGGATTGAACCAACTTTGTTTGGTATTTTTTTTAAACAAGAATCAGTCTGTGCAGTTTTTTAATTTGATTTTTTTTCAATTCAATATTGGTTCAAGCACCCTGTGCACCAAATTAAATCGAAACTGACCGCTTCAACATATAGTATATTTATAATATATATAATCTCATAATATAATAATATTAATAAGTATAATAAATTACTAACCTTAATTAATTAACCTTATCATCTCTATAAGACCTAAGTTTGTAAACTCTTATTATATATAATTTTAGTATTGGTTCAAGCACCCTGGGCACCAAATTAAATCGAAACTGACCGCTTCAACATATAGTATATTTATAATATATATAATCTCATAATATAATAATATTTATAAGTATAATAAATTACTAACCTTAATTAATTAACCTTGTCATCTCTATAAGACCTAAGTTTGTAAACTCTTATTATATATAATTTTAGTATTGGTTCAAGCACTCTGTGCACCGAATTAAATCGAAACTGACCGCTTCAACATATAGTATATTTATAATATATATAATCTCATAATATAATAATATTTATAAGTATAATAAATTACTAACCTTAATTAATTAACCTTGTCATCTCTATAAGACCTAAGTTTGTAAACTCTTATTATATATAATTTTAGTATTGGTTCAAGCACTCTGTGCACTTTTTTTTGATCGGCAAATGTTAATTGTTAGTTGTTAGATTAACACATATGAGAGAAAATCTTCCCACCCTAATTCAACTCTTCTAAGGGGAATTGAACCCATAACCTCCTTAGGACTAAGCCCTAAGGAAGGCATGGTGGCCAACTAGGCTAGGCCTAGTTGGTTAAAAAATGGCAAAACTCATTATTCTTGAAACCTTAGTATTTTTTAACTTTTTTTTTTGTTTGTATTTTTGTTAATCTAGAAATTAAAAAATATTAATTAAATAGATGGATTTGACATGTTTAAAGTGATAGACAAATAATTAATTCAATGTTTTTATATAAATTAGTGACAATATTAAAAAATGGCTCAAGTTTAAAAGGTCCTAGACTGATTAAACCGCATCAAACTAAATCGTT